ACCTTTAGCAGGTATACTCCAGTGATGGCATGAGCATGGTTCAGATACTCAGATTGTGTACTTCTTGGATAATCTTGTCTCCCACTGACTTTGCTGTGGAGCTAGAGCTTCTCTGTATTTTTCTAGACTAACTCTGTCTGGTGTTAAGGTAGATTCTAAACCAGGAACTCCTAAATTTAATCTGGCACTTCAGAATAAGCACTAATGTATATTGTGCTTCTGCTGAAAATCATTAGGAGTCTTCCCAATACTTACATTAGAAATGGGAATAGGACACTGGAGGCTTATAGGACAGGAGGCTAGTACAGCTGGTGTATCTGTGATTTTCCCTCTTCAGAAGCCTTATCAGTTCCTTTATTTAAGGAGACCAAGAAACAGGCCTAAAGCAGTGCTGTGTGAGAGGAGGGAGGGATGCAGTGTGTGCTCTTGGTACCACAGTCTCACTGCCCACACTTGCATAGGAAGTGGGATACAGAAGAGCTGCAGCAACTGTTATTCCACCCTATTCCCTCTCAACCATTCTGCTTACTCCCCCCTCTCCAAACTCATCTTCTATAATATGAATTTTGCATTATTATCACATTCTAATCACTCTTGGACTCACTGAAATCCTTCTATCATTCCAGGCTGGTCACATCACCTGAGAAAAAGGAGCAACAGCTGCTGTGTGGTAGGAGCTGCAGCCCCCTGCAGAACAGCACTACCATGGCAGCCTTCAGCAGCCAGCACAGCTTCCCATAGCCTGCTCCACAGGGAAAAATCACAGGCAGAGCTGTGTTTTTCAAAGGGAAGCTTTTGTATGGATGAAGCAGATGGTTTTGACTGCAAGCCCGCTACTTCACTGGTCCTTAAAGACTAGATGTGGTCTGTGGCTTGCCACTAGACTTTCTACAAAGCTGGACCTATCCAAATAAAATGCTTCTCCCACCACCAGCTTCCAGTGAAATTCACTCATGGCATTTTCTATCTACCATTGCCATCTTTTGGAGTTTGCCTTTGTGTGGTGGACTCCAGAAAAGTCAGGAAGGAAAAGGGGAAGTGAGGACAAAGAGAACATGCAAAGTCTACTTTGCTTCCCATTAGAGGCTGACCCCTATGATATTACAGCAGCCAGCCCTTTTCTTTGCTCTGTTTTTACAAGTTAACAGTTGAGATACTTAGTTCAGTCCAGCTGATGACTACATTGTTTATACACAACATGGACAACACTGATTACATCATGATAGCTGTTTTTCATTCACGCACATGCCAGGGTAGTAAAATTGATATGTAACAAGCCCAAAATGATGGGGAAATTCCTACAAAAGTCAAGTTGGGTGCCAGTTACAAATTATTTCCAGAAGAGCTGGAAAGTGCAGAGTATCAGGATATTTTTTTTGTCTTTTTTGGGATTTATTCAAGTGCAACACATGTGGACTCTTGCCTGAATTCTTCTCCCTATCCAGATTTCAACCAACCAATTAACATTTCTCAGATAGTTCTAATATTTGGATCGATGCTGATTGTGGGGGTTTTGTTTTAAACAATATTCAGTTTAGACTAGACTGCATTTTTTTCATGTTACTGATGGCTAAAAATATCTTCCCTGTTACTCAGTAAAAACACAGTGAAGCCTCAGTTCTAGTTTCAAAATTATGTATATAGATGTACATACATACGTATATATTACTCGGTAAGAAATAAATTTGTTGAACAGTGAGGGTCAGGGCTACACCAGCAGCTGAAATGTGTTATTTATCAGCAGATCATTACAGTCAGCACTGCACAGCATGTGAACTTCCTCACACCACTCTGCCAAAGCTCCCCACATGGCTGACCTGCCTGCTGACTTGAGCTTCAAGGAGCTTCCAGTCTCCATCTGGGGATTCAATCTCACTGCACTGCTTGTGCCCATGTGGTAGCCCAACTTTTCATCTCCCTCGGCTCCGCACAGGAAAATAAAACCCTAAAGGCCTGACTTGCAGACAAAGTTTCTCCACAGACAGCTCTGCTCTCTCCCACTGATTTGAGTGGGAGAAGCCCTCCCCCTCCTTTTATTTTGCCAATAATATGAGTTGCTCAGCAACAACTACAGAGACCTTCTGTAAGTTGTAATACCTGAAATAAGAATAATTCCTGTGTCCAGGTAGTGACTGTAGTTTATAAATGTTCTGATAGAGGGGATCTACAGGAGGGAAAAAAGTAAATTGATTTGCTTTGAACATCTAGGGTATTTTAATACCAAGGATTTAAAAATTAACCTACTTTAAAATACTATGATGTTTTCCTTCTTGTGCCCCTTTTCTTCTTTTTATCCCATCTTTAAGAACTTTTCATGCAATAAGGACACGTGAACTTTTTTAAATCAGAGATGTCCAGAAAATATACGTCCTTGACCATTTTCTCCTTATTAGAACATGTTTCCTAAAATATCACCCAATGAGTATACAGAGATATTTTAAAAGGCCCCAAAACCTTATTTATATTCAGAATTTTGTGTTACAGTTTGAGCTTTCACAGGGTATTAGAGTTGACATTTGATTAGCACTAAATGACATATCCAGGTTATATGGAAAGAGTTGTGCCTTTCCCCAAGAGATGAAGACTATTTTGGCTCTGCTACCATAACTAATTGTAGAGGGTAGAGTGCAACTGAGCAAATGGAGGTACCAGGAAACTTTAAAATTCAATACACAGACACACTGTGGTGGCTATTTACACAGCGGAGACAGTGTTCTGACTGGATTTAGCTCTGAACGTTTTATGAGACAAGTACTTTCCACTCTGAGTACTGCAGTACTGAAGTAGTCAGACTACTTCAAAGAGATCTGCAAAAGGCAGCTAAGGAGAATAAGAACATCAATCTTTTACATCACTCTACATGTGTGAAAAGTGTAGTAAAAGGGTCTGCAACCTTCCCTGGAAGAATTATAGGGACTCTCAAACTGAAAAGATTAAAACCACTAATTTGAGAGTATAAAACAACCAAATATTTTCTATTCTTTATGAAAATGTAGTAGTCAAGGAAAGGAAAATTTATGTTTGTAAACATTGGTCATCTGAACAATCCTAAAGAAAATGAAGATCCAGAGCAAAGCACTGACTGAAATACAGCCACTGATGGGCAGGACAGCAGTAAGTGACCTCGTTATAGCATGTGACACACAAAGGAAAGGGAGAAGAAGAATAAGAAATTGTAGCATTTTGAAGACACACTCTGCTCTTACGCAATCTAGAGTGATACTGCAGTGACTCTCATTTTAGAGAGACTCATCTGAATTCAAGGTTCTTCCAACAGGAGGCTTGAGTATACAATTTTCAAGCCTTTTTAGTCATTGCATCCCTTAGAGATATTTAGTACATGTATTGAAAACCAATGTCTTGTGTCTTGCTCTGTGCTACTGAGAATTATATTTCTTTCAGTAAAGTGCTTCTCCCTGATGTTTTAATAATAATATTAATATGCAATAATTAAAAATAGTCATCTTCAGTGAGATTCCCCTGCAGATGACACCTGCATTTCTTCTACTATTCTCCTGGGTCCAGTCAGACACATTAGTGAAACAACTGGATCATACATTAAGTGAAGAAGATTCAGAGATTGGTACTTCTGACAGATACACAGACTAGATAAACATGGGTTTGAGAGCTCAATACCTTCCACTGAGAATACCCTACTTCTGTGGCCTAGAATTTAAAATTCGCAGCAATGACTTCTCACAAAACCACGTAACAAGATGTCAAGTACATCTGTGTTAAGGAAGTGAGACTGCCAAGACTCTAGCTCAACACAGTTTTCTAAAATAAATTCACCAAAATCAGTGCCTTCATACACTTCCAGAGGCAAACAGCGGATGAATACTAGAAGTAGTAAAAAGCCTGCTTTATGGTGTATGACTGAAATTTGTAGGTGGTGGTGTGTATGAGACCTGGTTAGGGAACTCAGGTGGGTTTTTAGCCAGTCTTTTCAACAAATAGGACAAACTGCTATGTTTTGCTTGCAGGGGACTTCCCTATCAACATGCTCAGGAATGAATATCTTCTGAAGAGGGAGGGTATGGCAATGTAACACTTCAATGATACTGCATACCTTTGAAACTGCAGTTTCCTAAAGCTGTTACATACCCCTGCTTCAACCACTGTTAAGTATTTTTTTACATTGTATTTCATTTTGAGAAACCCTATCTGCTTTTCAGGCTGATACACTACCTTACAAATATCTAAGAAATAAGAAGTTGCAATGCAATCTCTATGGAATAACTTCATGTTAAATATTTCTCAAATAAGGTCTTTGCTGGTGAACAGGAATCTTGGCTGCTCTCTCAGTGTCAGGTATGAATTCAACTGCCATCCTTAAGTGCTGTTTAATGCAGACCAGCCACACTGAGTTTTACATGCTGCTGCCATTTTAGAATACTTTCTCTTGGTCTATTTATATGTTTAACCTAAACACAGTCTCAGATCTCACACTGTGGGAACTAAGCGGCCATGTCCTTGTACAAAGCCATTACCAAAGATTTTACCAGCTGCAAATCCTGTTCCAATTTCCTACAAAAGGGAAACTGAAAATGTTGTTTGAGATAACAATTTATAGGACTTAAACTACAAATTTCCCATATAATCACAAGTGAAAACAATAATCATAGTGAATCAAACCCTAAAATCATTCTTCTTTAGGTGCTGTGATATGTAGACAAACATATTCATAAGCTTAGTAAAAGAAACTTGAAAAAAAAAAAAGGCTGATTCTCGTGCTAATGTCTACCAAACGTACCCATTGTGACACAAAAATGCAAATTAACTTTCATCAAAAATGACACAGACAAGTTATTCTTGGATATCATTATGCCTGCTACATCCAACAATTTTAGTTCAGTGAATTTGGTTTGAGAGTCACATAAGTCCATCTGCTAGCAACATGAGATTTACACCTGTGATGAATAACTCATAGTGCTAATCGGTCACAGTGTCCTTTTGATAAAGTCTTGCTTAAAGTATGAAAGCAACAGATTATTCCCTACCTTCTCAGCATCTTGCTCAAAAAGTCGAAGTTGAAAGCACTGGTCCAGTTTCAACTTGCGGACATGCCACATCTGATGTAAGTGTTGCCGGGTAGAATGTAGTTTGTCTAAAAGGCTGGTGATCTTTGGCACAAGACTTTGAAAATCTGCACTTCCAGGAATGCAGTTCCTACCAGAAAAACCATCACTGCATCTTATGCATTGTAATAACCTCTGACCCTCACGATCCAGTTCTTCTACAGGAGCTTTAATCACTTTTTTCTTAAGCTGTGTGTGCTCATCAATCAGCCTTCTCGAGCCCTCAACATCAACTGGAAACTCCTTCCTAGCCAACATTTCCTGGAGATCCTCCAGCCTTGATAATAAATGGACAGCACTGTTGAAAAACTCTTCCAAGGAGACGCGCAACTCTATCCATTCATCGTGGTTGTAATCCAAGGATCCTTCAAATTCATCCGTCAGTTGAGAAGGATCTACGAGTTTTGCCAGGCCTTCCACTGATACCATACTTGTCTAAGGAAGGGAAAATAACAGAATTTGAATCAGTGACTCTCTAATCAGAAACAACAGTGCAATCCATAAATAGCATGAAGAGACCATTTTCCTCATCAATACATAATTGAATGAATTCTGTAAAAGATGCTGAGGACTGACCTGACTACCAAAATCATATTATGAGAATGTTTCTGTCGTATATTACTTTAAGGCAGTTGGACACTGAAGACTTCTTAATGCACCTCTTGGATATTTGGACATGACTGTTCAATAAACATGTATGTGGTATTACAGGGATCCTACTATTTGTGTTACACTCAGGCTAGTGGCTAAAGAGCAGCAGAAGTTATAGGCATATGAACCGAAGCAGGTATTCTGACCTACCAAAACACAGAATATGCTGTTTTTTTCTTCCAGATTATTCTAGCTGGCTTTTGCCACAGGCAGACCTCTTTCACATTAGTAATTTCTAATGTAATTAAGCCAAAATCAATGTAAATGTGAAATGTCATTGGAATATTAACAATTAGAATTTATTGCTAATAGGAAGTACTGCTCATGAATCATACACAATCAATGAGAGATGGTTTTAATTCATTCAGACTCAGTAATCAGTGATCAAGAAATGCATTGGGTGCCCGGAAAGCAGATTATAGCTTAAGGATGCAACGACTGATGGCTGTTCCCATTTATTTTAGTAAAAATAGTTTTCCCTGAAATATGAGCATAGGGTTTCATATTTATAAAGTTACTAGAGATTTTCAGTGTTGTCACGTTAACACCCAAGTTGGCAGCCCTTAGAGGCTTGTGATGTTCATTAGCGACTGCACATCTATACCCTAAAGATCAGGCCTCTAAAGAATGTCAGATTGTGCTCTTCAAAAGTGGAGACACCCAATAATCACAGCAATCTTTTAAAAGTCATTACAAAGAAACCTCAAGTACTGTCCATTATCCTGAATTTTGCCCCAAATAGCAGGCTGTCCACTGGTTTAAAGTTAATAATAGGCTTTTCTTCCAATTGCATCCATCTAAAAATATCAGGAATTCTGCAACATATGAAAATTGGCATTGGATTGAATTAATGATCAGTGGGAAGATTATTTTAAAACTTTCTTGGAACATTCAATGATTTGGGGAAGGACAGAGACAACAAATAAATGGGAAAGTAATTTCAAATTTCTAAACCTCTTGACTTGGATATTAACCCCTTGAAGATAATCCAATTTAGAGTTAAACTGCCTAACAGGAAAAGACTTCTCTTCATAGCTAGTACCTGGGCATGCCCGCTGCAGTGTGTCAAGCTAATGCAAGCACTCCTCTTATCATGAACAGAATTTGATGTGGTAGAGCAGAAAGGCTTTTAATTTCATGAATTCTGCAGCACATTTATTTATTCAGATTTATTTCTTTAAGGAGTTAGAATCATAGAATCATAGAATAGTTAGGGTTCAAAAGGACCTTAAGATCATCTAGTTCCAACCCCCCTGCCATGGGCAGGGACACTTCACACTAAACCGTGTCACCCAAGGCTCTCTGCAACCCGGCCTTGAACACTGCCAGGGATGGGGCATTCACAACTTCCCTGGGCAACCCATTCCAGTGCCTCACCACCCTCACAGTAAAGAACTTCTTCCTTATATCCAATCTAAACTTCCTCGGTTTAAGTTTTAACCTGTTACCCCTTGTCCTGTCACTACAGTCCTTAATGAAGAATCCCTCCCCAGCACTCTTGTAGGCCCCCTTCAGATACTGGAAGGCTGCTATGAGGTCTCTATGCAGCCTTCTCAAAGTTCTTGAAACTCTCATGAAAACAACCATAGTTAGGCAGGTAGGTGGTAAAACAGAGTAACTGCCTGTCAGGCATCACCCGTCTTTCTTTTAGAAATCACTTTGAAAAGCAAGCACTATTTAAACATTTTTGGCAGAAACAAGAAAATAATCTTGAAGGCACCTCTGAATTAATGCTAACTAAGCTGCCTGGTCCATTCCTCAAAATGACAGGAAGTTTTGGAGTCCACATATGTCAACTAAACCGTTTTTTTTTCTCTTTTCTTTGTGTGATGATCTGAGGGCATGCTTCACCCTGGACTGTGACACAGAATCATTCTGCCAGAGTCTCACAACACAAAACCCAGATCATTAGCCTCCACTAAGGGTCCTACACTATCCTGGCACATGCATAATGCTTCCATTAAGCTTAAAAGCAGAATCTGGCTTTAAAACTGATGCTGGTTAGTGCTGAGTTTGTAGATGGAGTAATTCAACAGACTTCCATTGTCTTCCACTGCAGTCCGTTCCTGCCAAGAACCTTGTGTTTGTTCACAACTGTGGGAAATCACTGTGATAGTTCAGTGCAGAGAGGGTAGCTGTGTGCTGCCCTACATAAATCAAATCAATGTGAGTCATATTGACCTGCAATGCTTATTTGATATTCAGAGTTCTTATGAGAGAACATGAGCTGCCCCAGAGCCTCAGCCTACTTAGCAGATATGTAGCAGCATCCACAAGAAACCTTTAAAAGAGAAGTTCCTGGATTGTGGTGTCTATATTGCAGGTCGTCTACTGTAAAGTGGACCACAGCTTAATAAATCCCATTAAATCATAGAATTGAAAGACTCGTCAGTTCTGGCTGTCTGCAAGTGGCCAAATAGACAGCAAAAGCACTGACCCTCTTTCTGTGGCCCAAACATTCGTGAACCATCACAAACACCCATGTGAACAGCCCAGAATACAGACCAAGGAACAAAGGTGCACACACAAAATTGAAAATACCCTTAGTATCTGCCAGCATGTACAACAAATGAGTCCAGAATTTTTAACACAATACAGACTCAGAGCAGTAACTATGATCACAGTTTACTCTTCACTGTCATGACACCAACTCCACACAATAAAAAGATATAAACCAACTCCAGAAAATTTAATTTTAAAAACAAGCAGATGTTCTAAAAATATATATTTAAGCTCTGTTACTTTACTTCTGGGTCTTGAAGCTTTAGGAAGACATTACTTATGTTTACTAAAGCTCTGAAGGACTGAAATCCAGTGTTGGATGGACAGCATAATCTGTCTTTTCTTGGGCTTCCCTGGTACTACCATTTAGTGCCCCTATGTATTTTAAATAGAAGCTCCACATCCTCGTATGCTATTCTGGTCTATGCACAGGCCCTCTCCTGCTTCATAGAATCATAGAATCATAGAATAGTTAGGGTTCAAAAGGACCTTAAGATCATCTAGTTCCAACCCCCCTGCAATGGGCAGGGACACTTCACACTAAACCATGTTACCCAAGGCTCTGTCCAACCTGGTCTTGAACACTGCCAGGGATGGAGCATTCACAACTTCCTTGGGCAACCCATTCCAGTGCCTCACCACCCTTACAATAGAATCATAAAATAGGGTTGGAAAGGACCTTAAGATCATCTAGTTCCAACCCCCCTGCCATGTTCTTCTGTTTTGTACCTGTGCATTTCCTTTCTCCTTCCCACTGCCCTGATCCCACTCATTCCAAACAGGCAGCACTGCCAATCTCATTGCACTGTAATGGCAGCCACTTCTGCCAGGGCCAGAGATTTTAGTAAGTGTGAGAAATCTCTGGAGGTGACATAAAGCTATACTGAAGGCAGCCTTGCTTTTAAAGGCACATAGGGGATAGCAAGTGGGGCTATTTTAATGCCTAAGCCCTCATAGGTAGCCAAGGAAGCTAAAGACCCTATTAAATACCAACATTTATGAATTCATTGGTTTTATTGTGAGACAGAGGGGAAAAAAATGCACAAATACTTAAATTGTGATAAGTAAAAGTCTGTTAACGCTTAACACCAATCTAGTTGTCCATTGCAATTCAGGAGTGCTTTTAAGAAGAAATTGAAAATAATAACATATTTATATCACACACTGACTGCAACATATCTTAAATGTATAATTAAATATAGTCTTTCACTGCAGTCAACAATAAGAACTATAGCCAAATTCTCTTCTGAGTTCCAGGGATGTAAAATCTCTGAATGAACGGATTGGTAAGTAAGACAGTCAATGATAGAATTGTTTCCCAGCAAATTAAGAAAAAACAGCAAATGACTAACTCATGGCCGGGCATGATTGATGTATGAGCACTTCACGCTCCTGAGCTTTGCTTCTCTTTGGGTAAGAATATGAAATTTACAGAAAACTAATGTGCACTAAGAGAACACAGCCAGGTTGTCCTCACCAATGACAAAGGTAGTAAAATTCTCTTTAATTACACAGTTGTATATTGGTTACTTCTCAAAGAACCTGCTTGAGGCACCTTATCACTAACCGAAGTTGTTAATGTTACCCCTGAACTGTAAATCTCAATTAAAGTGGTGACAATACACAGTTGAGTTTAGTATAAATGTCTTTTATAAAAAAAGCCACTTCCCAAAGTGGGTAGAGGTCAACTAATCAACACACACTGTAACATCTAGAGAACATCATCTTTAGTGTATTGACTGATTCGGTGGGGCTTTTTTGCTAAGAGAAACAAAGGAAAGACTGAATGCAACACTACCAGAAATAAATGGCACAAAAAAAAACGTCACCAAAGTTTGCTGTATGTAAACCTCTGGAATGAAACATGCATCCTGTTCCACCAGTGTCCTCAGGAGGCAACCTGATGCCAGGGCATCAGCCTACTCCTTCAAACAGGCCTCAAATGTCTTTTTTTTTCCCTTAGTCACAGGGCTTGGGAATTTTTTTGTTTTACCTGAAGAAAGTCTCAACAGAGCTAATGCCTTATCACACATCTCTCATGTGGCTCTCACCTCAAAGATGAACTTGGAACTGCCGAAGTTCGTTTTCTGCTTCTGCCAGAAATTATCAGGTTTTATAATCAGGGCGACATGAATCTCAGCAGGAAAGGCTTCTTGAAGGGTCTTTAGGAGAGGCTTGATCAAATCCCATTTGGATCCCCGCATATCAATAATAACAGTGAATCCTCGCTTACAAACATCTTCACTGTAAGAATAAAAGCATATTGAGATAATTAATGTTGTGGACAGTCACTCTGAAATTTAACTTTATTGCTAGTCTGCAGGGCTTCAGAGCAAAGCAAGGATATACTTCAAAATAATACCTGAAAGATGATACAGCATAAAGGCTATCTGAAAGGCTATTTTAATTTTACCATAATCTAATTTACATGAAATTTAAGTGTATATATTACAGTTTAAGCTCTAATTTACCAGATACATGTAATTCAAATTTTCACTGAAAACATACATAATTTCACACAATTGAAAACAGAATCAAATATACCTGGATAAAAGCTATTTATGTGTACAGGCAGCAGGTCCTGCTTTCACTGTATTGAATTCAAGCCAGCAAGAAGGGTCCTGTACCTTAATATTGTTGGGCACTTGTAAGTTTGCGTGTCTTCATTTTAGAGGCGCCTTTAAGGGCTTTTTAAAAACTGTAATTTTCAGAAAAGTGCCTGGCAATTATTCCCTGCAAGGAAGGTTCTTGTGACTCAGTATGTGGACTGTTAAATTCGGGGCTCTTTTCCCTCCTGTCTGATCTTCCAAATTTTGCAGGATCTTTTTCAATCCACAGTCATACTTTTCTGCTACCCTGTGCTCTTCCCTTCTCTAAAGGTCAAGAAAGTTATCTGGCTTGGTCATTGCCAAAGCATGGCCCCAAAACACCAGAGCATTTGTCTTGCAAACCCATCTTCCCTTTTTCTTCAGGGGAAGAGAAAAGAAAGAACATAATGACATGTTGATACAAGTCAAATCTGGGCAGCTTTCATCACTGCTTTTACAGGGACATAGTATTGCTCCTCAGAAAAAGAGGTATGGTTCAGAACTGTCATCCTCCATTTGCAGCATCCAACATTAGATGAGATTTAGGAAGTGTCTGCTCTTCTGACTGAGCAGCTAATATATCTCCCATGCACTACGTTGAAGTCTTGAGAGCTATGGCGCCTGCTTAGGCCTCAAGCACTTGCACAAAATGTGAAATTTGCCATCACCAGTAATATTATTGGCATGGTAAATAAGTAAAATTCTTTAGTGATGCACAAAAAATGCCAGAATGGTCCACCTACTGATCTATTTTATTTTATTCTTTTTTAAGGTGGAATGGAGGCCACAGCCTTTTTCACAGAAGGAGAAGCTACTGGAAGAAAGGAATTGTGGAAAGAAGGAGTAAAGATGAAAACAGAACAGTTGAGAAAGAGGAGAAACATAGCAGAATGAGTATTTGCATAATGAATATAACAGATATAACAGTGAGGTATGGAACAAGAAAACCTCTTATACATGAATATAGTACCTTCAACTTTTCTGAAAACTGACCAACATATCAACACATAAATAGGATCAATAATGTGTACATAAACTCATATGTAGTGTAATTTAAAATATCAAGTGTTGATATCACTGGAATGAATCTGAAATATGCTGAGGACAGACATAATTATGTATGGGTATAATGCAGAGATTGTAAGAGTCTGTTCAGCCTCCACACACATACTCTCAGTATACAAAAAGACAAGATGATTTTCACTGTACTCTACTTCTCTAAATTCTTGAAGCACTTTGCTAATAAGATTCAGCTCCTACATCTCTCACTGAAAACAACTCTATAAAGCTCACAAGTAGGCTTCTGGGCTAGAACACAGACAGGAATATCCTTCATAGAAGGCACACTGGATTAACATATATAACTTAAAAATTAAAGTCCTTGGTGACCTTAGCAGTATCTAGAAAGATCTGTGCACGGATAGACTACCCCATAGCAATGCATTTTTTTCCACATGAAGACAGTTCACTAACTTGAACAGTCTCAACTTAGTGCCAGGAAGAAGCAGTTAAAGCCAACAACCTTGGTCTTATGCCTTAACATTAGCACACTACATACAACAGTCAGTGCAAAACAAAACTAAGGAGACCAAGCACTTCCAGACACTGTCAGGAACATAGATCTTTTTATTCAATTTTTACCTACTGCTGAAAGGTCAGACATCTGATCCTTCCATAACTAATGCCAAAAAAGGCTGTAAAAACAACTTTGTTGGTGGTGCTACTGCCTCTTGCTATTTGGAATAAGAGCTGAGACAAAGAATCAAATCAGAAAGGGATAAATAGAAGGGGATTTGTGTTTTGGTTTGTTTTTGTTTTTTTTTTGAAAACTGTATAGGGTCTTCAGTAACTTCTGCCAAGTCACCAATCACTGTTATTCCAACTCCCCCCAGCTGCTGCCAACCTGCCAACTTACCGAATCTGATATAAAGCAACAGATTGGTTTAATAGTTACTGATGAATAGCAGAAAAACCTCCTTAGGTAAGCAGAACAGGTATGTCCTGATGGACTAAAGTCTTCTATTCATGAACCTGAACTAAAGTCCTAGACCCAGACAGTCTCAAAATCAGATCCTGCCGCAGCCCCAGCTTTGGAGAATAGACAGTGTGATACCATTTTGATACCCATAATTACATACCACCATGACTGGACCGATCTGCCTCTCTGGACCCTGGAGATGCAGAGAAGCACTGGAGGGAGCAGACAGTACTGCCGCCTGTTCCCACCAGCACACCAAGCCTAAACATGCCTGTGCAAAAAAATGTTCTACAACACCCTAAACCCTGCTTTCAGGTGTTTGGAGACTTCACAGTGCATTTTCAGTGGAAGAAGCAAGCGTAATGACTCCTCAGCTTTTTCTGAGGACACAGAACAGCCACTGAACCTGCAGGCCAGGCTGGGACATCAGCCCCTGGGTAGGGGTCAAGATGCTTCCTGATTCTTGTCCTGGAAGAGGCGATAAGCAGTCATTCCCTACCAGAACTATCCACCGTCCCTGTAACCAGACCAAATTTTCAAAAAATTTATTACTTTCAAGTATGAAACTGATAGGACGCAGGGATGGAGGAGGAGAAAAGAAAGGAGAATAATCATAGATTTCTTAGGCTCAAAACACATCAACAAGTAACAACTATTTCACTAATAATACAAAACTCAGTACAATGCTCTTAATTACAGAGTTTTCCCTACTTGATCGGTCACATAGGCATGTAAATTTCTGTATGAAATAAGTGAAAAGATGGGTACCCCTTTTCAATTATAGCGACGGTAAGGTAAAAATGGATGGTATTTATCATTTTGAGCAACTCTAGCTCTGTTTCAAGAACCCTGCTCACAATCTTGCAGAAATGGCTCTGCTTGCAATTTTTCTTTAATGAGATGAATGGTACTAACCTGTAACAAGACCTGTGGGTCTGCAGTCTCACCTACAGAATATGATCTTGCTGTCATAATGATAATGCCACACATCTTTCTCTGACTCTTTGCAGAAAATTAACACCTGATTTCTAAACCTGCTTGCTGAAAAAAACCTACTATTTAACAGTGTTTAAACTGTGGCAAGCCAGAAAGCTGTCTACTCATTATTTCTGCTTTCAGTTGCTGAGTATGCTGTGGAGAGGAGTGACTTTGAGAGCACTTATACTGTACAAGCAGGCAGCTGGATACTAATCAGGTACTAATACCTCAGAGAAAGAAGATAGGGAGAAGACAATTATTTAGAGTTTAAGCTCTTCAGGGCAGGGACCATCTGCCATGCTGCATTTGTCTAAGGAGCCTGCCTTGGTGGAGGTCTCCAGGTACCTACATTCACACTACAGTATTCAGCTCTTTAGAACAAACACACACACACACACACAAAATACTCTTCAGGAAATTATAGGTGAAAAAAGCTGAACACATCTATGGAAGCATTAAAAGCTTACAAAAATGTGGGGACAACTCACAGGCAATTTAGTTAAAAAAAAAAACAAAACAAAACCCAAACAAAACAAAAATACAACTAAAAAAGCTGCAAGTTTAAGTTGTAATATCTAAATGTTACAGCTATTGATAGGGTCCTAAAAAAGTTGGCTGTGTGTACACATAATGAGGAACCCTTAAACTCTGGGGAGTCAGAGCAATCTGTGAAGATTTGTCATCTTTGACAGTCACTGTTCTTCAGTTACCTCAACATGTACTGAGGAATGACCCTAGGTTCCTTTTGAATAATCGAGCCATGCTTATTAAATGTACTGTTTAAACGCAACAACTCAAACCCTTCCCAGTTTAGCAATTAATCAGGAAAAGCATCAGTAGCAATCAAGCTTCCTCCACACTTTCCAGGCAAGACTTGCCTTGTCCCTGGCTCCCCAGATGCTACATCAATCCACCTATTACACAAAAGCAATCATTTAGAATGGCAATTAATGATGATTGCGGTACTAAGTTTTTTCCGGTATTGATATTTGATCAGAAATTGGAGAAAACACTCAGAGCAAGGTATTTAGACAATCCATCAGCCTTTTGGCTGTGCTCATCTGGACTAAATTTGCAATGGTGAGCACAAAATACTTCTTAGGTGGTATGTCATTTCACTTGCTATATTGCTTTTGAGCAAAGACAAAGACCAGCTTCTAACTTCGATAAAAAAAACCTAGAATATTTGTGAAAACAATATTTACAATGTGGATTTTTTTAAAGAAGCATAAAATCAAAACTCAGAAACAGATGTGATAATTTTATCAAAATAAATGCCTTTATTTTGGTTTCTAGGATACTTTCATAGCCTTATTTTCTCAAATTTCCTCTTTAATTCAGGCACATTCTAAATTGTATTTTCTTTGGCAAAGGCTGGCTTGCTGGGTACCAAATGAGTTTAAGGACTTCATGCTTTCTGATTAATCTTTCAAATACCTATCATTGATTATGTGTTTTTTCTTCCTTATGGTTTGGCCAAAGCTTCTGGCATTTAGAAGCTTTAACACTTGATTAGCTGAAATAACACATTTCCACTTCCATTTCGCATTCATGACTTAATGACAAAGAAGCACATTTAGCATACCTGTTGGACTACTAAAAGCACAGGTCTGATATGTACAGCATCTCATTTAAAATACGATTTATTAACAGTGAGAGCAAGATCTCCTTTATGGTGGGTCAGCATCACCTTGCCGGGA